CAAAATTGTTAAGGTCCAATAGATTATGAAATTTTGAGAGTAAATCGGATTCCAAATCTCTCCTTTTCAAGATGGAGAATGTGACTTTCACCTAGAGGTTCAATAACTGATAACCTGCATGCCAACATCTGAAAAGTACCAATCATGAACTCACACAAATTATCGAATCCAAAAATATTGTAGAATTCTCTGATTAGTTGCTGCAGAAAATTGCTATGAAGTATAGTTGTCACGACCAACGTTCTTTGAGGAATGTCATACACAGTTCTGTCTAAAGCTAGATGCAATGAATAAATAAAAAACAGTCAAACCTGCGAATAAAATTATTTTCTATTATGCTTCAAATCATATAATTCCAGGAGATGCAATGATCCAAGCATCACACATTCATCATAGCCAACCTGACCTTCTCTTGGAACAGGCATCCCAAAGGACTTTGAACTTAGACAAAAAACAACAAAAAGAAATGATATTCATTCGGTTTGCCATAAGAAACAAACACTTGGAAACCATTCAAGCAAATTCAACTTTAACATTAGGGTAACACAGACTCATGTACCTTTGATTTGTCTTATACTCCAAAATAAATTCAGACATCGATTTTCTTGGTTGTATAAGAGCCAAATGGACCTTTAATGTGGTCCAAAAAATAGTGCAAGGAATTATATAAATCCAAAAAAACTATATTTTAGCTGCAACTCTGATTCAAGAACAGAAACAAGCCCGAAAGGTTATAAGTCAGAACCAGAATAAACTATAAAAAGAGGAACAAACTCATGTTCAAGGCAAATTATTCACTACCAAACATAAGGTAAAAATAAATGTGTAAAACATATTGCTTGAACAAAATTTCTCCAAGAACATTTACTTCACTGTATGATCAAACAATTTTAATTGGAATGAAACAGGGAATTGCTAGCCTTTGAAGGCCAAGTTAAACATTTACAGTACACAACTATAATCAATAGTAGGACTAGTGCATCCAACCATATTTTATCATTTTACAAGACCACCACCAATCATTTCACGGAGAAGCTTCTCAACGTTATCATTCTCTCTATTCTCCAAAAGAGCTTGAATAAGAGTTTTATATGTTACTGAATTAGGGAGACATCCATTTGCTCTCATTTTTGAAAGCAAGGACATAGCATCATCAAACAAGCCTTTGCTGCAAAGCCCACTGATCATAATGTTATATGTGTAGACATCTAGATGATAGCCACTGGTCAAAAGGTATTGAAAAATCTTTCGAGCGTCATGTAGTCTGCCTCCTTTACACAAGCCATCAACAAGTATATTGTATGTGTATACATCAGGTTGAATTCTCTGGGCAACCATCTGCCTAAATAGTGCAATCCCTTGACCAAGATTTTGACTTTTGCAAAATGCATCTAACAAAATACTATAGGTGACTGTATTTGCGGCATGACCGCTTTTATACATCTCATAAACAAGATCTCGCACCTCTGACATTCTCGCTGACTTGCAAAGGCCATCAATAAGAGAATTATATGTTATCACATGAGGAACCAAGCTTTTGCAGCGCATTTCTCGAAAGAGATCTAATGCTGTATTGACCATTTTAATCTTACAAAATCCATTGATCAGTATACTATAACTAATTGCATCAGCTGTTACACCGCTTTGAACCATCTTGGAGAATATTTTCTTTGACTCATTCACGTTATTCATCAGACGGTATCCATTCATTAAAGAACCGTAAGTTACAACATCCGGTCTCTCACCGCATTTCATCATCCTAGCAAACATGGTTTGAGCTTCAACAATCCTCCTTTCTTTACAAAATGCATCAATGAATGCATTAAATGTATGAATATCGGGTTTGATGCTTTTCAATTCCATTTCATGAAACAATTGGGTAGCTTCTTTCCACTGTCCCACGCTGCAATAGCCACGGATTAGAGATGTATATGTAATAATACACGGCAGAATTCCTTGATCAATCATTGCTGAATAAAACTGATGCGCCTCAATAACATGGCCACATTTGCAAAGGCTATCCATGATAGTGCTATAGATGCTTAGATTAGATTTAATTCCCTTCTTCTCCATCATTTGGACCAATTTAACAGCAGATCTTATTTTCCCTATTTTACACAGTCCGTTGATCAGGGTGCCATAACTAAGTTCATTGAATTGAAATCTTTTAGCTGTTAAGTCATCATAAAAGTCTAACGCTTCCCCAACCTTGTTGCTAATGCAGAGTCCTTTTAATAAAGTATTAAATGTTATCACATCTGGTCGAATATCCATTTTGAGAATCCTTCCCAATACTGAGAAAGCATAATTCATCTGACCCACATGGCAGTAACAATTGATCAAGACGTTCAGGGTACATAAATCAGGTATGAATCCCTTGAACTCCGCTTGAGCAAACAATGAGATCGCAGTTCGATAGTGTTTAGCCTTTGCAATTGATCCCAAATGCTTGTTAATTTGGATGATGGAAGGCGGGGGGTGCATACGTAGTAAGCGATTGAACGAAGCAACGCTGTCGCCGATATTCATTGCGTTAAAAGTTTGGGAATGAGCAAAGAACTCGGGATTGAGGGAATGATAGAAAGAGGGAAGCATGAGAGACAAAGGTGGTGGAAGAAAGTGACCAATTTTGGGCAATGCATACCTTGAAAATGGACACAAAAGGTGGAGATAATGCATGGCTAAGCAGATGAGGCACGACAAGAGCACAGCGAACTCCGATAGCTTCGAATCAAAGGAGATGCAGAGAAGAAGGATTGAAGTTGAAGGGGATTTGCTGCCCAGAGCATTTGCGAGTTGGGTGATCGAAGACAGCATATCGGCACCCTCCAAACGCAGCGTTTCTGCAGTCCGCAGGTCCATGGTTGACGTGTCTTAATGGTTTCCGTTGGATCCAATCTTGAGGTTTTGACTTTTTTTGATTCTATTTCTATCCTTCGGTCATAATGTTTTGCGTTCCAAGAGGCAAGACTGCAACAGGATACTAGAAAAATCAAGTAGTCAGTGCGGATGGAAACCAAAATTTCAAAAATAATTTTACGGTTTTCAAAATAAATATATAAAAAATTTTAGCTCAATTTACAAAAAAATATTTCTAAAAATCACTCCTCCTAATTCCCAAACACTCCCATGCTTCTACTCTCCCCCCCCCCCAGAAAATCGAATGCAGATCATCAGTTGTGATTCATTCATTCAAGCGTGCGCGAAAAAATCGCACGTGACTTGATACTGAATATATATATATATATATATATATATATATATATATTACAAGGATCAAAATTTCACCCATTTTGTGCAGCAAACCCGGTCTGTCCAGTTTGTGGGGAAGACACTGAGACTTTAGAACATTTATTCCTGCTCTGCAATTGGGCTAGAACCGCTTGGTTTGGGAGCGTCTTGGGTCTTATTATCACCCCTCTGAATATACAAAGCATTTCCTTTTGGCTTGAGCACTTCCTGCTAAAAAGTGACGCTGACTTTGACTATGGGAAAGCTTACATTGCATCTATGCTTTGGTCTATTTGGATCTTGCGGAATAAATATATTTTCGACCAGATTATCCCGAGGCCTGAGGATGCAATTGAGATGACTAAACGGACCATGATGGAGTATTGGGATGCAAATTCTCTTTTCACTACAGCACCTAGCAATGTGGAATCTAAAACTTATTTCAAGTGGAGGAAACCACAGGAAAATTCCTTCAAGATTAACTGTGACGGTGCTTTCTGCAAATCTAGTGGTAAAGCTGGTATTGGATTGATTTGTAGAAATTCTGAGGGATTATTTTCAAAAGGATGGGCTGAAAAGGTAAATGTTACCTCTGCTTTTCATGCTGAAATCCTTGCTGTCCATAAAGCGGTTGTCCTAGCCGAGCACTGGCAATGTTTTCCAGTTGTCATTGAGATGGATTGTAAAGTACTCTTTGATGCGTTATTGCGCCAAAATCTTTTCGATGCTGCCCATGGCTTCTGCATGGTTTACTTGCTGAAATCTTTGAATTGGTGAATGATCGAAGCTCCTATTCCTTTTCTCTCATTCCTCGTGAGGGAAATGATGCTGCCGATCTGTTGGCTGCCTTAGCTTCAAGGGAGTTGGGACCTAACGGTCTGATTCTGGAATCTCCACCTCCTCCAGCTACTATCGTCCTTCGTGAAGCCACCTTTGTTGAAGATTGCAGTTTTGACCAGCATATTTCTGAGGCTGATAGGGAAGGTGTCGGCTAATTCCGTCACCTTTTGCTTTTTGTGGGCCTGTGTTGCTGCCCTTTGATCTCTGTTGTTTTGTATAAACTCTTGTTTCAGTCTCTTTAGTAATCTAATTATGCTTTCCTGGTAAAAAAAAAAAAAATTTCACCCATTTTAATCTCCTGATTTATACTCCTCCGGTTCTCAATATAGGACCCAATTCTTGAGTTGATTTTGGTCCTAAATATAAGATCCATTTCTTATATTTATTAATTTTGCCTAAATTACCCCTATAGATACTCTATCAATCATAATCAAGTAGAAGAGGGAGATGGAGTATTAAAAAAGATGATTATAGTGTTTTAGGAAAAATATGTCATTTTTCTTATAATTAACTAACTTACCTAACTTCTTTAATCTAATCAAATTAGTTAAATGGGTCTTATATTAAGGATCGGAAGAATATTATTTTTCTTTTAATTAGTTTAAACTCTCGCACGCACACCCCGTGCACATTTTTTTACTAACGCTCAATAGAATATAATCCTCGTTATTTAAAATCTCAAGATATTTAAAAAACATAATTAACTTAACTTAGGGCATTACAAGAGCTAAATATGTTTCAATTTGTAAATGCATTTTACCCATTACATGGACATCATAAAATGCATTTTTTTCCAATATTTACAAATATTAAATGTGTGGAAAAAATTCTGACGAAGTAATTACTTGTCTTAGAGAGCGAATGAGATCCATTAGCATTAGAAATACTGGAGGCAAAACAATAATAATTCAGAGATAATTTCACTACAAATAAGATCAGATGCTCTGCCCTTTTTCATTAAGGGGGCAAAAAGATTAGTAAAAACTAGAAGCAACATGCCAGACGAATGAAGCAAGTCCTTAAAATCAACTCGGGTTCGATTGAGAAGCAATGCGATAAACACTTGTAATCAACAACCAGACCAGTAATACACGAAAACGAGAAAAAGAACCTACAAATACCGTTAGTCAAGGACTAAGCCCACTTAAGGGCAAAAGGGACAGAGCTGGACAAGCATACCTCAAACGGATTTCCTAATTGAGACTACCCCAGATGTTACAGGCTGTAATAAATGTCACACTGCTCTGGTCTTAATTATGCTATACCATTTTTTATTCATGATATACAAGTAAAAATGTCAAGTATGCAGGAGGGTACACCAAGCTCATACTTTACACAGGAACTGCACTTTAGGCTTCTCCTTCCAGCATTACGAAGAAGCCATTGTGGATGAACAGTCCTTCAACAAAATATACAAATCGTGCTTCAAAGTTTACTCTTCAAAGTCAATGATCGGCAGTATGGCATGAATTTGTAACCTCAAGATTATCCATTGACAATCAAGGTTCTTGACCCTTCATTTATACTAAGCTGACTCTTCATTTATACAAAGCATAGAAGAAAAACGTAACTCTTGATATCCGTGGGTCTCCAATAACATTAGACGCCTGACACCGGACACGTACAGAAGATAAGTATTAGCTGGAGAACCAGATATCATCATTTCAAGTTCTAAATCAAAATCGCAAATCATTTCATTCTACAATTCTTCAAAAACATTGAGCCTGGTGAATAGGTAGATGGAACCAAGATTTCTGAATTCTGATATTGATGCAGCTTCAAGGAATAACACGTGAGTGCAGCTAATAAAAAGGAGATTCACCATCGGAGTTAGTAGATTGGCCAAAATAAGGAAGTTTACAAAATTTCAGTAGGTTGCAATAACATGGCAAGTTGCTATCAATGGGTATGGACAACAAAAAGCTAGCATATTACAGAAAACATAGTGCCCATTTTAGGGCCCCCCCCCAAAAAAAAAAAAAACAAAGAAAGAAAGCTGTGTGTGTCAGAAATATTATAAAACTCTCTTAAAACAAGTAATGTTGACGAAATTGACTCCTGAGATAGAACCAACTACGACTTAAGGATACTTTTACACAAACTCCTTTAGAAGTCACCTTACAATCCTCGTCTCCGACCAATGGACTTATTATGCAGCTCCAGTAAGCCTTGGAGAGATTCCAAAGACCATGCATCCTCAGTTTGGGCATATACCTTTTGATTTAGGGAATCTATTATGATGCTGACATTACCAAACCCATATATTTGATGACCATTATGCATTCTGCCAGGTTTCAGCTTGAATAGCAAACCATGTTGCTGGGCATGGGCCTCAATGACTTCCTTTAAGCTCATCTCATGCACACCTGCTGCACTCTCCATATGGGCAGCACCCCCCAAGCCTGAAGGAGCTTGGGTTTGAGCATTAGCTGCTGCTTTCTGCTGAGCCTCAAACTGCCTTTGCTCAAGTACCCTCAGATAGCTGATATTTTCTTTCAAGCCAGGCTGGACCACCTCCATACCTTCAACAGCCTGGTTCATCATATCAAGACCACGGTTTAGCTGATACCTAATACTTTCGTTAGCCAGAAGTTCCTTTGGAATAAGCTCTTTCCAACCCAAATACCATTTTGTTACTTCTTCAAAGTTAGGGTTTGAGCACAACCAATGATACAAAACCTGAAGCCACTTGGTGAAGAAGAACTTTTCCATTATATCAACCATCAGATGAATTGGGACAGCAGAAGCCCAATTCATCACCCAATAAAACTGATCAAGTTTCTGATCAGCTGGATTCACTTGGAACTCTTGCAAGACAAGCTGCAACTTTGGCACAATAAATCGAAGCATGAGCTGTTCCCAACTCACTGAATCAAATACGGTCTTCCAAGGTGACAATATAGCATACGCAGAGCCATCGCTTGGATGCCAAGCACCAAGAACAGTACTCAATTTGAAGCGTATCATCTGGTACATTCCCTCTAACTTGTGCCCTAACAAAGGTAACCATGGGTGCACCCAAGTATGGATAGGAATTGTCTCACGATGTGGTTCCCATGTATCTACAGCACTTGATAATTTTGGCATGACTATATTGTCCAACATGGCTGTGAGAACTGAAGAAGGAAGCAACTTTTCCCATGACTCCAGAAACCGTAACATTGGCTCAGGATCGCGTGCCTGCCAGGTATTGATACCTGAAATCCTAACAGCTGGTAATACAACTTCAGAAATCAATTGAGTATAAGGTGATGTTACATCCCAGATATCAAGGCACTCTTCTTCTTGAAGCAATGTTTTCCACCGTGATACCAATTCTAACCCATGTGATGGATTTCGAAGAGGATCCCATCCTTGGAATACTCTAATAAACAAAGGCAAAGCATATGAGCAAGCAATACATGACAAGTTACACAACTTGTAGCTATGAGTGTATCTTTTCCGCAAGTCAGTAAAGCACTGGGCAAGCAAATCCAATGTCAATGTCCCCATTGAGTTCTCTTCTCCGACTCGGTCCAGCACACTTGTTATTTGCTCCAAATCTTCCAACTGCTTTTTTTGGTGTGCTGCCTCAATTTCTAACTTCTCTTTTTCTTTTTTCAAGCTAAGTGCCGTCTCCCTCTCTCCCCTCAAATTTCTATCAATCTCTTGGATATCTGCCTCAGCCAACCTAACAATTAACCCCACGTTATGTTGAAGCTCTGGCATTGGAACATCATTTTCCTTAGCCTTCTCCTCAGCATTCAAATCAGACAAATTTGTAATTACTCGAACCTGTGGCCCTCTCATATCAAAAACCTTCTGAACAACCTCCAGACCCTGTTCTTGATTGGTTGCTAACAATTCCTCAGCAGTAATATAATCTTCCTCATCTTTCTTCTTCTTTGACCTTGATTTCTTTGACCATAATCTTTCCTTTGCTCTGACAGTCGTAGGTTGAGCAACTCCTGGCAATGCTGTCTTCTCAACTTGCACACTTGGCAAAGGAGTTGTGGCCTTCGAGTCATTAAATCCAATGCCTGTATTCTTGGCCCTCATATGGGCCTCAACAGGAGCTACAATACCCTGTTCATTCTTCCCAAGACCACCTCCTTTATAGCCCATTTTCTCCAACAACTTCATTCCAATCCCCTTTGTATACTTCTCAAACTTCCCAACATCTGAAAATCCATCTTCAGCTTGAGTTTTCCCTTGAGCTCTCTTCTTCTCCAATTTTGCTCTCTCCTTTTCCTTCTCCCTTCTCATTGCTCCCTCATGAATCTTCTTTCCAAACGCTGTAGGCAAAAAACCATCATCATCATTATCACCATCAGAAGCATTTTCACGATGACTGGTATTAAAACCTAACCCAGAACCAGAAGTGCTAGTAGTCCCCATGCCAAGACCTAAACCTGGCCTATCCTCACTAGCATAACTTTCTTCTTCAATCTGTTCTTTAGAATGGTTATCATCTTGATTAGGCATAAAAGTTCCAGTAGAGACAAAATTCACAGGCTTGCTGAGGTCAGGCTTCTTAGATAAGTCACGATCTTTTCTCCGTTTTCTGCTTGAATAATCATCATCGTCATCATCAGAGTCTGCAAACACCCCATAAAGAACATCTTCTCTAGTTTGAGTGCGTTTTTCTTTGCGCTTTCGATAGTAGAACTCACCACCAATCCATTCACCGCCTTCAAAATCATTATCCATACCAAATCTCTCCATCTCTTGATATTCATCCATCTTTAGAGGCAGAAAACCTAAAAATTAAAAGAATAACCCAAAGAAATTAGTAAATCCAAAGGTATTCAGACTCGAGAAAAATAGATAAATCTCGTTCACTTGATGCTTTTCATATGACAAACAAAATGGGATTCATTAAATACATCTGGCATAACAGAATAAATCATGCATGAATTAGCAGGGAGAATTTAGCAAGAACAACGCCAAGAAATTAAGAAAAACATTTTTGGGGGGGGGGGTTGGTTAGGTTTCCCTTTGCTAACCTATAGCTAGCAAAAAGTGAGATTCATTACACAATAAAGCAACTCAAACCTCTTTTACTTTGCAAAACCGTCAAAAAAAAAAAGAGAAAGAAAGAAAGAAAGAAACTGAGCGCAATTATGAATGAGGACTCGCTAGTGGGAATCAGGAGTTTATTTTAATTCAGTAATTATGTGAGTGTGTGTCTGTTCTTTTTAATTTGGATAAGAAATTTACAGAATACTAGGAGAGCTAGAGAAGGGAGAAAATGGAGAAAGAAGGAGGAGGTGTCAGTAGGGAGAGTAAGAGGCAGCAACAATGGGGTGAAGAATACCGATCAGGCCATTAATAAGGGCCACCTGGGACACTGCTGCCCTCAAAGGAGGCCGAGTTAGTCCTTTTCCAACTGCAGAATTGCCAGCTTTACGGAAGCCTGACCCCATAATATTTTGGCTTTAAATTTATAAAAGCACTATTAAATTGGCAACAAAACCTTGAGACAGGATGACTGCCAATAGGATAGAAGTTTATATGGCATCAATTAAATTAAACTGTTTTAAGCCAATGGTTCAATCAATACTCCTAATTCTTGTGACCCATTCAAAGTTACCGTATCTGATTGAAAACCCATTTTCAAGAATAACCTATTAAATTCCTGAAGTTATATTACCAGCCAATAGAGGACCATCCAAACTGCTTTTCTACAAGAAGTTAAAGATATTAATCAAAAGCAGAATGCTAAGGGGGCACAAATCCTAGAATCATCTAATGTTGTTTTCAGTATGTTTATTTTGAAATGTAATTTTTTAGAACAATTGTCCAAACAGATTTTTTTTTTTTTTTTTTTCAAAAGTTATTTTTAAAAAAGCAGTTTTATAAAATTGTTTTGAGGAGAAAAAAAAGAAACATACAGGCCTGAAATCTCCGCACGATAAGTATTTATGTATTTTAATCACTATCCTGACCACAATTAAGTGATGCTTTCTTATCCTTTGCCATGTTTATAACCAGCATTATGTTATCTAATTATTTGATTTTGCAACAAACTAATGCATTACATTGAAGATTCAACACCAAAAAGAAAAACCCTTAGACAAAGACACATGTACACTATAATTATGTTTTTTTTTTTTGGGGGGGGGGCACATGTAATCAAGAAACATAATATAAATTCTCAAGTCAATGAATGCGCCAGAGTTATCCATCGCATAAGAGTTTATAAGGCAAAAGCTAGTACAGATTCTACAGCAGGTGGTAACAAAATAACTCCCACGCAATGTAACAGCAAAACGAAGCCTATGAAAATGCTTATAAGTTATAATATTGTCTGCTATTGTCTCTGTATATTCATAAAGGAAAAGCCATCAAACAGATAATGAGTACTGAATAACAACACAATGATCTTATATAAAAAATCCTACCCATCTGGTTTGCATTAATTAACAAGATGAAGACACTAGTTCCATAGAGCAAATACAAGCCAAGTACTGATTCATCTCATAATTATGAGTTGTGCTTATGCGTTCCTATAGCCCTAAAACTTGCTACTGCTTTGCATTGCTAAGTTGCTTGAAATATCGAAACCATACTTCTGCAATATTGAGCATCTAAGGACTTCAGGTGAACAAAGGATTTGGTTCCCAATAAAAGGAGTTACTTTTGGTCCACAGCCACTACATCATCCTAATTTTTAAGTCTGAAAGCTAGAGCTGAACAATTGAAAGAATCAGAAAGATAAACTTACAAGGTAGGAAGGAAGAAGACGAAGCAGGGAGAATGGAGGAGTAAGGTGAACGACGAACACCCTTGCAATGGACAGGTCTCGGAGACGTTGTCGGAGTCACGAACCGGAGGCGCAGCCAGCAGGTGAGGGAGGAGAGGACGCTGTAAACCGGAAAGCTGAAACTCAGAAGCTAAGCAACGGAGGTGAGGAGGATTCGAATGGAAACGGCGTGAGTGAGGCGATTCGATTTCGAGGTCTCTAGTCTGGTCCGGTGTCTCCAATGGCGTGATGCGGGATTTCCAGAGTTACTTTCGGGAGGCTAGGGCCTGAGGGGGTTCGAGGTTGGGAGGGAGAGGCAGATTTTTTTTTTTTTACTGGTAAGCACAATGGGCCAAGTTTTCTTTTTTTCAAAAGAAAAGTGGGCCCAACTTCTGAACCATCCCACACTCAAAGCACGGCTTAATACCCGCTCTCGGCTCAACACACGGTTTGATGTGGCCCAGCCTACGTGGAATGGTTGGACCTTGCAAAACAGGCCGAGAGAGAGTCCCGCCGCCAGTCCGATTGGTGGACCCCTTTTTTTTTTTATTAAGAAAAAAGGATAATGGAATTCCAAAATAAAGGAGTGTTTGGCATCCCTCAAAAGTGCTTCTAAAAAGTATTTTTCTATAAAATAAAACAAATTTTTTCATATATTTACTTCGTAGACTATAAAATCGCTTTTGAAATTATAATTTGACTTCTATCCAAATACTTCCTAAAAATAAAAAAAGCTACAGGCTAGTCTGAAACCGCATTTTACGGCCAAAAACCTTTTTATACTAAATTTTCTGGGTCCCCTTATGCGATAGCCATGCATAAAGAAAGTACAAGTGCCAATAGATGGCAAGATTCCCTGATTCAATCATTGGCAGTGTTTCTTTCGGATACATGTTTATCTCCAACATCGAAAGATTACTCTTAAGACACTCATCCAATCACCTTTAATGTTACAAAACTTGCTTTATATAAAGAGATGAGGTTAAGAGAATGTTTGGGTATGATGTGCGAAATAAATATATAAAAAAAATTTATCTTGACTTTGGTAAAAACAGTATTTTTGGGTTTACTAAACATCTCTTAGAATTGGGAGTGAAAGAAATCTTTTTGATAAAATACATGAGCACGCAAGAGTGATGAGGGCGAAGCCAAAATCAGGCTTTTTTTTTTTTTTGGGTGCCAACATCAGCAATTACTTATTAGAGCGTTGATTGTAAATTTTGTAACTCAGAATAATAGATACTAGGTGGAAGCGGGAAGATGATTGTGTTATTGGACCTAGAAACGATAATTTTATATTTTTTAATCAAAATTACTTATTTGTCATATTTGGAATTGCCTTTTTTTATTACCTTATAAGTTTGTTATTTGGCGAAAAAATATGTTTGTTATAATGATTTTTTAGAAAAATCCTTTGAATGAAATAATTTATTATTTTTCAGTAAAAAAAATATATAATTTTTCGGTTTTTCTGATATTTGAAGCTTTTCTGAAGACGTGTCGAAATATGTTCCGTTCGGTCTATCGAACGGCTGAATTCCCTTTATTCGGGTGCACTTTGAGACGCCTGCTTCAGGTGATCTGAATCCGAGAATCAGAAATGTCTCCGCTTCAGTTCGGAGTCCATTGAGAAGAGACAGTCATCAGAAATCAGAATGGTGCGTGCAGCGAAGAAGGGGGAAGCAGGTGGGGAGCCAAATCCGGAAGCGATCAAGCGCAAGAGGCTCAAAGGCTTGGCCTTTTCTAAGAGCATACTCTCTGAGACGCCCGCGAAGAGCCATGTTCATCTCGAGCCTTCTAAGACAGTAGTTAAGCATCACGGTTCAGACATTCTCAGAAAATCTCAGAGAAGGAACAGGTACTTATTCTCCTTTCCGGGCCTCATTGCCCCCACTGGCGGTGGAAAGATTGGCGAGCTTAAGGATTTGGGAACTAAAAACCCCATTCTCTACCTCGACTTTCCTCAGGTTCTTCATTTCTTTGTTTGACTCACTCTTGAGGTTTTGATTTATATTTGTGCTATGTTGTGGATTCTAAGTGATCATAGTATATTAGTAATTAGTCAACAGGAAAAGAATATAGTTGCATGTGAATTGACTGACACATTTCAGGAGTTTCTGCTGGCGTAATTTCGTTAACCTTCTATTCACATTACTATTTGTGATTGCAAATTTCCATTGTCGATATATTCCCAGACCCGTGGTCTCTTTTGTTCATTTTGTTTTTCGTAGAAATCATTTTAAAAGAAAAACAAGAAATCCTATGCAATAGAACTGTGAAAGTGAAGCTTGTGCCAATATGAGTACACCCTTCTAAGCGTTGAAGCAGTTATACTTTTAAGAAAGAGGTAATTTTATGTTCAATTGCTTACTGGCTTTTACTTAGTTTGGAGCCTTTTTCAAACTTGTGAACCCTAGGAAGTTATGAAGTTTTCATGGGCTACGGTGGATTCTAGCAATATGCATTTTCATGTTGTAATCTATTTCTGCCTTTTCCTTTTCAGGGCCAAATGAAGTTATTTGGGACTATCGTATATCCAAAGAACAGATACCTGACTTTGCAGTTCTCCCGAGGCGGAAAGAATGCAATGTGCGAGGATTATTTTGACAATATGGTTGGTTCTCCCCACCCTCAACATACTTCGGATTGATGTGTCACTTGTAAGGGAACTAGTTAGTTAGACAATAGTTGAAAAGAGAACAGAATGATCGGAAAATAGAGAACAGGCAGAGAGACTTGGAAATCAGATTCCATCCATACACATAACGTTCAACAATGGTCTTTTTATGGCTATACCAGAGTTAGTTAGAATTTCAACTAACTCAATCCCTTAGCTGTTATGATGCTATCAACTACTATTAACCGACTTAACTACTTCTACATTTATAGTTCATAGCATGCCTGACCAAACTTCCACCTGTAGAGCCCTTGACTTCAAGAGTGGCTTTTGTATTAGAAATATCAGGTGTTCGTTGAAAATCATAAAGCTGGACCTGAATTGCAGCTAAAAACCCTATCAATTTTAGCCATTGTATTTAAAAGACCTTGTCACTTCCATCTAAAGGGATAACTGAAGCATCTGCACTAAATTTTGTGAGTGGAGTTGACTAAAGGCCTCCTGTTCTTTTGAGAATCTATGAAGTAGTTTGCCAACAAAGATTCTTGAAATTTCTTTTTCTTTCTTTTAAAGTTTTGTGATTCAATTGTAATTTTGATGCCTATGCTCATGATAGGCTTCGAACCTATGTTTTATTTAACCTCTCTCCCCTGTATCGTATTCCTGTTTAGTTGTAGCAACAGTAAGCATTCTTTCCTTTTACTCTTTTTGACTTTGTTGGTCAGGGACTAAGAATTACATGCGTCTCTTTTTACTTCTTCAATTCCAAATTTGTATCCTCTACAATTGGGACTTCAGTCAGTTATACTTACATGCATTTTTGACAACATCTTGGATATACAAGATTGTATTTTCGGATGCATGGTGGATTGGGACAAAAGATGAGAACCCAGAAGAAGCCAGACTTGAATTTCCTAAGGAATTCTATGAGGTCAGTACATTTTAAAACATTAGTTCTTACTTGCAAGTTTTACTTTTCTAGTTCGGCATAGTGAGAGAGTGAAGTATCTTGTGATTTAACTTTACGTTTCAGGGACAACCAGCTGAATATGACTTTAAAGGTGGTGCAGGTGCTGCGTCTGCAGTTAATCAAGGTGTCCCCAAAAATAGGATGCAATGTGCTGAGAAACAATCACCAAAGACCCCCCTGAGGATGATTTTTCCGACAGTGAAAACAATACAAAAGACACAGAGGAGGTTGTTCCAGTTCGACGCTCAGAAAGAACCCCAAGAAAATCATATAAGTATTAGCCTCCTTTTCTGCATAAGATCACTTTGTAACTGTTGCCTTCCTGCCCTGAAGTTGTGACAACTGAAGAAATAATTATTTCCTAAGGAACTAAGAATTTCACTCAGAATTATGCTTGCTTATATTTAAGTATTGAGCTAAGAAGCACTTAAATAAGTATGCTTGTTGAGTATAACAAGATAAAGGATGTGCAATTTCTAATCTTTGAAGATGAGTATGGGATGTGTGTGTTTTCAATAAATTAACACATGACTGAAATTCAAAGTGGATAAAATTGCCTGGTTGCAGTTAAATTTTACGCCACCTTTTATTTAAACTTCAAAGCCCCGTCGGTTAACTTTTGTTATTGGTTTAGATTTGCAGATGCTTCTAGTGATGAATCTCCTGAAAGCAGCCCAGATCTCTCTGATCACGAGGAAAAAGTAAGTTATCACTGCTGCCAGTGGTCATAATATCATAAATATATAATTGGTTCCCTTGTAGTTTGATATTATTGATACCTAATCGACCTAGAATTTTAGAACTTCATTGCACAGTACGTATCTTATGTGCACCTGTATGTGATGTCCTTTAAGTCATTGATGCAGAAAGAAAGTCCATACATTGTGGTTGGTGATGCTAATGAGGATGCTGCAGAAGAAATTCAGCTCCCCGAGGAAACTAGAAAGTGTGCTTCAGGATCTATATCTAAAAAGGTCTCTCAAGTTTCTTCCGTATCTGCAACTAAGGAAGTTTCAAGCAGTAATCATGGTTCACTTGTCCAAGCTACTTTATCCACATTATTCAAAAAGGTGGAAGAAAAGGTGAGATTTCACTTTAAATTTTGGCATGGGAATAAAATGTAGAGAAGTGTTGAGGACAAAATTTAGGATACTCCAATTCCCCTTGTATGTTATATGTTAGTGCAACTTCTATTTTGCTTGTCAATCTTAGGTTGGTCTTTAAGTACACAAAGAATTTCAACTCTCCGGTTTCAATAGTCTCTTGGATGATTTAAGGATACATTTTCTCATTATTGCATGGCTTTTGGTGGGATATGGGAGGACAAAAAATTATGAACTGTCATAGACGAGATAGTTTTACTTCTGATCCATCTAGAAGTCATGCGTGCAATATCAACTTGGGTCTTTGTATGGGTATATAGCTAAGTATTCCTTTATGGGATACTGTGATAATAGAACAGTGCCATGCATTCTGCATTTGTTCCATGATCTGCATTTAATTCGCAAGACAATCACAGGTGATATCTCTTTAGTCGTAACAGTATCTTCTTTAGCCCTAAAATTTCTAACGGGAAGTTCTACTTTGTCTAATTATGGGGTCAGTTTTGGGTAATCATTTAACAATGGAGAACATGTTTGCCGTGGTTTGTAAATCATTGGATTGTTCTGTGTTTAATGTGTGTGTAAAAGGAATACTGATTAAAAACAGGGATATCTACAAATATTGTGTACCAGGTGGGCTTGGAAAATGGATCAATCTTTTGAACTGCATAACTAAAATGTAGAGCTTTAAGGAGATATATGAAAAGAAAACAAGGGACTATTGTTCTGCGTCTCAGTCTGGGATATTGTAAACCTCCCTATATAGCTTAATTGTGCAAAATCATAATCTTCAAATTATGCTATAATTTGTTTATTTCTTTTATTGGACCTTTAAAACAGGAGATAATTAGATCATGAATGTTCGTCTTCTGTCAGTCTGAAAACCTTAGTGCTTCGTTCAGAACTAGTGACATAAAATTTAATCTACCGCTCAGTCCCTCTAGACGTTGGTCAGATTGATTGATTCTTTAAACTCTTCCATTTTCAGAAGGCTCCAAGAACCCCAAAGAAACTTTCATCATCAAAAGGTAGTTAGTTTATACATTTTCGGGTAGTTATATTTCGGAAATTGTGATAATTGAAGTTATTGATGTTTTCCAGATTCCACTAAAAAGTTGCAGGATGCTGGTTCAAAAAGGATCATAGATCTGGTTCTTCTTCCTCTTCTTCTTCTTTAACTTGTTTTCTGAATCTCTTTTACTTAGCTTGGGGATAGGTTTTCCTTCAAGGCTCTAAGTGCTTCCTAGTAAGGTAGAATACAAGCTGAGGTCTTTTTGGCTTTTGTTGCAGGATGAAGGGTCCAAGAAGAGAGTGAAAAAGACCAAGGACAAGGATACCGGTTACCATTCTCTCCCTCTCTTCCCTCTAAATGTTTACAGGACAATTTTTTTTTTTTTTTGAAAAAAAGAATCTCAGATCATTCAATATAAAATATAAAACCTGTGGCTAGTTGCACTGTTCACAAGTTGTCGACAATGCAGCTCATTTTTCAAGCTCCGTATAATGCATCTGCGGGTATTTGCCTGACCATATGCAGAAAGGAGAATTATTGATCATTGGCACTTGTTTGGCTAGGTTTAATGTGCACCATGCCATCAAACAATTGATAGGGGATCAACAAGTGTTGAAAATTTTAGAATTCATGGATATAGGCTACTCTTGCTTATGTCAGCATTATTGAGTCACCCTTAAGTGTTTAATAAACTTTTACTTTGGATATTATATTTGGACAAAAGAAACTGTAGATCCATTTAAGACTTGACATTGTACTTGATCAACGGATTGAAGTCCTGTTTTGCTGGCAGCGTCAAAGGCAGTAAAAATTTGTTTCTGATGGAACATCCAAATTCCCAGTTCCAGACAAGAAGCTACTGGTGCTTTATGTGATATGTTCATGACCTTATAATGAATATCCGTCTGAAAAATCCAAATGGTTGAGTCTAGCCTTCCAATGCCCTGTAGATCTGTTTAAGATAAAATGCTTTTATGTTTTTGATGTCTCTAAAACGTTGTGATTTTAAACTTCTTTATCATTAATAAGTAACTGCATTTATGAAGCTTTGGCGGATTTGGTTATTATGTTTTTTATTTTGTAGGTGGAAATAAGGCGGTGAAGGGTAAAAAACGGAAGGTATGTTTTTCTTGTTCTCGAAAGTCCAGAGGCTTCTTGGTATGGGTTTAGTAGTGATTTCCCATGATTGTTCTTTATTCATAGGCCATAGCATTAATTTAAGAGGAAGAATAATTTGCCAATGACTTGGTCCCTGGCACCAGTCAATCAAGAAGCTTTCCTTTGAATAAGGAATTTGCAGTAAATCTTACTGATGCTTTTCTTCACTCAAGTAATTTGACATTGTACCAATAAAATTTAGGTTGAAGATGAAGTTGATGACATTGAAGAAGTTTCAAGTGATTCAGAGGTAATTGTTCTTGTCTCATGCATTACATTCGAAGACATAAAGGCCGGCTGTGACAATTACAAGTACAAAACTTATGTTTCATTAAATTCAGAAACATATTTTTGTTGAATAATCTGATGACGCATATTTGAAGGACTTGAGAATCTCATATACCTATGTTCATCTTGCTGTTACGCTAATTTGCTCTCATGGATCTTTTGCGTAGGATGTGGATGAAAGCGATGAAGATTGGACTGCTTGAGCTTATGATCTGGATTACAGGGATGATGCCACAATTTCAAGCAAGTGAAGTGATGCTATTTTCCCTCCTAAAATTGTTGATGTGATGACTGAAGAAGGTTGACACTCTCGCGCACACAGTCCATGCAGGAGATATATCATTGTGATATGGTGAAGAAAGAATGGAAATGATTTACAGAAAAGAAATAGAGATGCATGGAAGATGAACGAAGGGAGTTTTATTGTAGAGAATTAAATCTGTTGAGCAAGTATGGGGGACGATGTTGTAGTTGACCCTTACTAAATTATTTAAGAAATTCCTTTTTAACAACCATCATGGGTTTGTGTATTTGAAGCTGTTTTATAACATCCTAGCTCTTGCGTGGCATTATTAGTCTTTTTAGAATGCTGATATATAAAACAATTTTAGAAAAAAAATAAATGGTATAAATATATTTATGTAATTAATAGTGATTCGCATTCTTGAAATACAGAGAAAAAATATTATTGCTTAAATTCGAAGATATGATAAACCTAATAAAAAATTAATTCTTTTTTCTTATTTTGGTCCATTGCCTATTCGAACTCAACTTCCTGGACAGGAGTGGAGCACCCTCCCCGGCAAGCCACAAGCCTGAAGTGCCTACTTCATTTTTCTCTAAGCATTCCTAATAAAGCTTTAAATAAGTTAATGATTTTTTTTAATCCTTTTAAAGTATCTTAGCAGATATTGGCATATATCTTTATAAAAAAAAACTTTATTTGATGTGGGGATAAAAATTGTTTTTCAGTTTAATCAAAAGGAGGCGGAGCAGTAAATTAAGAAATCCAGCTTTTTCCCCCAAAAAAAAAGGAAAAAGATAAAAACATAGTCAGCCCATAAAAAATAAATACTTGAGTTATTAGCAAACAAGAGCTCGTATCTTCACTAATCTTCTCCAACTAGGAATAAAGAGAGCTAAATGCAATACCTATAACCAGATTATATATACAATGAACATCCCAACTCACCACAAGGAAGCGTGCTTTTCTGGTGTAAGATGCTAGCTAGTTTCTTTCCACTTTTACAATCACATTTTATTCAACTCTAGGCTTACTTTGCACGAGTTTTAAAGCCAAAGATTTACAAGGCAGTAATAAACTAAGGGCTCTGAACAAGATATTAATTTAAAGCCAAACCTAAACCGCTACGAACCTAAGAAAGCATCAACCCTAGCATTCGTTGCCCTGGACAGAACTTCATGCAAATAGGTGGCTTAACTCCAGCAAGAGCAAGTATTGAAGCAGGCAGAGTCCATATCCCATCCCCACATATCAAACCAGAAGCTACTGCAGGGGCAAAAGCATCTGCCTTAGCCTTGTTCATCCTCTCCCACACATACAGTATCAGACTTCCAACACACATGTCAATGGCGAAGTATGGCCCTATATAGAAAGGAATGGCCATGGCCATTGGAAGTGGTATGAACCACCCTCTCTTACCCATCAAGTCTTTAATCAAGTTTATCAGGACAGCAGAACCAAAGAAAATATAGCAGAGCAAAAGACACTCCTTTGGTAGAGATGAGACGCCTTCCACCCCCAACTTCGCCATATTTCGGTATACGATTGCATAAGGAGCAGGGTACTCACTCTTGGGGCTACCAAGGTCATCAAAAGCTTTGTAGAAAATCCAGAAAACGCATGGGGAGATCACACAGCCCATTATTGTGCCTATAATCTGGCTCACAAACATAGACCGAGGTGAAGATAATGTGAGGTAGCCAGTCTTGAAATCCTGCATCAAGTCAGAGGCTGTGGATACTATGTTCATCATCACTCCACAGGCTGCAAGGCCAGCAAGAACCCCACCATGCGAAGCTCCAGCCCAAGCCCCAATTGTGAAGATGGCTAACTTTCCATAGGTGGATGCAAGGGACCAATCGGTTAGCCCAGCTCCATAAGCATTGCAGAATGCTAAAGTTGGAGCAAGAAAGTAGATAACCAATATGTAGTACCATTTCAGTTGATGAAAGATGTGCGGGAGTGTGGCTACTGAGACAGCAGCTATTGCAACATAGCCCCCAATAGCATAATATGAGGGTATTTGATCTTTGAGGAAATGTTGTGTGCGGCGCTGATCATCATAAGAAAGTTGTGAAGTCCTCGATGAGTTTTGATCAGCAACAGGAAGTTCATTCTCCCTTTGTCTTTCTCGGACTTGGTTATACATTCCTATGAGGGTATAACTTAGCACCTTAATGAAGTTATACAAGCCATCACCCAGGATCATGGCTATGGCAACAAATACCTAATTCCAAGTGGCAAGACAAAGTCAATTAATTGGCAGGCCCTAGAAAGCATATAAATAGCAAAAGTATATGTTAGGAGTTCAGAACAGAAGGGAAGGGACAGAGTCCGAAGAGGAGAGGAGAGGAAGAGGGATGGCTCCATGATAATTTTCCTTCCTCTTTGGAAAAAAATCTCCCTTAAAAAATCTTTCAAATTTCATGAACTCAAAAATATAAAAGGAGGAGGACTTGGAAGTTGGAACAAGGGAAATGTGAAAAGAAATATTTTTCTCCTTTTTTTTTCATCCTCCTCTATAACTTACTCTAAAGTAAATATTAGCACCAAGAGTGTTTTACGATAGGAAACTAACCTTGTAACCTTGGAGGCCACTTAGGCTTGAATCAGGAAGGTCTGCAGGGTACCATTGGCCTTCTTTGCGTTCTATGAGAGGCCACATAATCCCCCAAGAAAGAATTCCTCCAAGGAGCACTGATACATTTATAATATATGGGCAAATCATTCCCACTCCAACATAAATCGTAGAGAAATCAAAATAAAACCTGCAAATAATAAAAATTTAGATTAAACGCTTTAAATTGAAAGTGATTCTTATATGAAGCATGTTTTAGTACATTATGATTATTTTTTATATCAAGTTAAATGAGTTTTTCAACAAAATAAGGAGATGAAACCAGTGTTGGGTCTAGTAGTTGAAGCAAATATGTCATGTGTGGTTAGGTGATAAATCTTAATCATGCCAAAGTTTTTGAGGCCAAGCGCAAGGGCTTTCCCTGAGAAAATCCCTCATCTTAAGGTAGGTGGCTTGCCTTTGACTGGACTAAGGAGGTGGATGCTTAATTAAGGTAACATGAAAGTTGGATAGACAACATTTAATCACAATACCACCCAAAAATAAATAAATAAAGTGACAACATACTTGTATTTATGTGCTTTGAGCCCCAGTGAAGGGAAGGCTTGAAATCCACAGTCATCACCAGCAGTATAGAACCACTGAAAGAAGCCCCATAAGAAACTGAGAGTAAAGAATTTTCCCAATGTTCTCACTTGTTTCCTGAGAGCAAAAAGTAATTAGTCAGGCAGTGGGGTATAAATTCTCGATGGCAGAAAAAAAAAAGGGTGTATAAATTATCATGCTATCACATTTGACAGTGCTTTACTTTGCTAATTTGGCTCCTTCAGGAGTGTGGAAGCTGTTGATAAGATGAGCAGTTGCGGTACCACTCGGATATGTCAATTTGAAGTCAATGATCATAATCTACAGCCAATGGTAGAAAAAAAAATTGAATCAAGGTTAGGGAAAGCAATATGCTGACATAGAATTACATAAATTCTAAGGATATAAAAATGGTAAAGATGATCCGCTTCACCATTACAGTATCTGTAAGGCTCCTGCGTTCTCCGAGATGAAAATTTACAGCAAAATGGGCTACCACAACTTGATTTATGTTTGATAAATTCATTTTAATACATTAATGAATCAATTGGATGTCATGGGACGATGCAGCCAGTAGAGGAAGCATACATGATACCTTTCTTAGAGGTACAACTGAGAAGAGGCCAAGAAAGCTGACAACAAAGAGAAATCCAATAATCCATCCTAATGATGGATTTTTGAAGTCATTCTTGTCTGAGGATAGCCTGGCTATACGTTCACTCATTCCAAAAAGTAGCTCCCAAAACCACCTGTTGATACAAAGTCAGCAATGCAAAGGGAAAATGCAACCTTTTGAATATATTTATCACGAGAATTTTTCAATTTTAAGTTGCAAATATTTAACCAGGATTAAAAAGGTTAAATACTTCATTCCCGTGTGAGGTACATTTCAAACAAGATTGACAAAAAAGTCAATCATGCAAGAAGGAATCAGAAAATTGAACTTCTCCTTTGAAGCAAAGCAAAAGCAGAAAGCTAATTTTTTGAATAATTGTATCCCTGCCCAAAATCATTAATTACCGCAATTACTTCTGTCCATTTTTCCTTACCTTCATAAATATGTTGTTTTTAGTACTTTGATAGCGGAAATTAGTTTTTTAAAAGATTTATCAAACCATAATATTGATAAAAACTCTTACCAAATGATTTTGCCAGATGGAAATTGTTGTTTCCTCATAGTGCTTATGAAACTCCAGTTGAAAAATTCAATTCAAAATATGCAAAATTCACAAATCTACAAATGACCCCAAATCTTGATAAACTGTGCCAGCTAGTTAATTTATAACAATTAATGGTAAATAATACAGTGAATATAAGACAAGGAGAGAAAAGTTAAGTTCTCTCAAATTTGATTCCAATAGTTAGAGCATAATTTTCTGAAGTTTTCCCCTTGGCATATGTTGAAAACCAAAAATAGTCGTCCCTTTCAGGTGGGACCAAAATTTACAGTTGTGACCCCGTTGTTATTCCAAGGTTCTAGAAGACAGCCAAACAGGGACAAATACAGTAATCCTTGACTTCGAGATAGTGAGTTGTATCTAACCCGGAAAATTTTGCCCATTTTTTTCAAACATAAATCAACTCTAAACTTTCTTCAAAAATCGTCATCATCATTTATGAAAATTCATGTCATGCCGGAATGTGGGGATATCATTCTTCTAAGTAATCACATCAAGAGTTTTTTTTTTTTAAAAAAAAAAAAAAGAAACAACAGTAATCAGATCAAAAATTGAGATCATTACTACAAACTATGCTTGGCCTAGTTCAACCGTATCCCCTTAAATCAACATATAATATTAGCTTAAGATTTACCTGTGATGCTAAGAAACATGGTTTCTAGTTTAAATACAGATCAAAGCTTAGCTCCTCAAACAATGAAGGTTATTGTCACTTCCGAATAATACAATCAAATGATAACTTTCAGACTAACTGCTTGTTCGATAAACGATACTAAGAAGCATAGTTTCTAAATTACGCACAGATCGAATTTCAATTCCTAAAATGGTGAATGAAATTGTCACTTCAACAGGGTA